GCGAGATCGAAGGTGCAGGTGGGATTGAGTTATGACAGCAGTTGCTCCGGGGGGCCGCCTATCTTCTCTTTCTCTCATGCGTGTCTCTCTCCTTTCTTGCTGCAGCCATGCATCACCTACGGCCAACCTCTTCTTCTTCTTCTCCGGTCCCGATATTCGGGCTCTGCCTACTTCGAACAGATAGCGCATTTTTTTTTCTCTTGAATCTCTCGTGGTCCCAGCCCCAATGCGCCTTAATGATAAGTTTCTTTCTGCACGGTATATTCTAGCTTGGCTTTGCGAAAAAAAAAAAAAAAAATTAGCCGTGATCTTTCACTGCCTATGGCGCTTGCGCTGCTAAATATCTCGATTGAAATCTCTTCTTCCTCTATTCGAATGCGCGCTTCTTGCGAAAAAGAACCTGCTTATCCAGCCTACCTGTAGATGTATCAACTTTCGCCAATGCCGATTGAAAATCTTCAGTGCAACGGGGCCAATTTTGTCGACGCGCTTGTCGTAAGCTTAAACGTGATTAACTGCCCGCACTTTGTCAGCTTGTTTTACTTGCAAGAAAACCTTGATATGTTTTCTTTAACATCGGTCAGGCAAATTAACTCGATAATAAACTTCTCCAAATGTCTCTTCGTAAATTGGCTTTCTTCAAAATTTGATGATCCCCGTACACTGTGCCGAACGTTTTCAATTCAGTTGAAAACGTTCCATTCCGCAAACGTTGACGTCAGTTGAAAACTTGCCATCCCGCAAACGTTGACGTCATGAGTAATTCTACTGCAAAAATCGAAATTCCCCGTCTTATTATCTTTAATGCTTTAAATAGCATTAGACAAAACGATGTATTGAACGCGCGAATATATATGCGAAAGCTGTTCTTCAATTCGATAGATATATATACATTAACAGCGACTATGAAACCACCGTTAAACACACAATTTATAATCAACGCGTCGATTATTAATCTCCGCTTCAGTTCATAATTCACCTCCCCTCGTCACTTTGTGTCCCACCTACTTTTCCGACTTTCTCACGCGACGATCGACGGCAAGTCTCTCTTTCTTCCTCTTTCACGCATACAAGTTGACGGAGCCTTCAGATTGCTGCATATCCTTCTTCTTTTCTCGCAGCCAATTAAAACAAATCATTTTAATGCGCGGAACCTTTTTAATTAATGCTCAATCTTCGTTCTTGCCGTTCCCTTTCCTCTTTCCACTTAATCGTCCTCCTTCGTCAAATGTTCTTTTGGGCCGACTTTTACTTTCGCAGATTTCTACGCTGACTAGTATTAATGCGCACGAGCGCCCTTGATGGTATGTATTGTAAATGTTCGTAAGATGGCGATCAAAAGGAAATAGGCGGATATAAATGTATGCTCGATTCGATTTCTGTGGCGCTGCCTGACACGGTTCAAATCAAATGAAAGTGCGTCGCCATAGATTTTCTCGATAAGTCATTTCTTTGGTTTTTCTTGACGCGTCATCTTGATCTTTCAACTCTCTCGCACGCCGTGGTTGAAGAAAATTCGACTTCACAAAAAAGGCTTACCGAATGTTCCAAAAAAAATCTTCCAGGACGACGAGTTTCAATTTCTCGCGTGTTTGAACGATATAAAAATAATCACATTGTCTTGTTTGCCATGCAAATTATTGACGGCGTGCGGGCACTTGCGAGAATATACGATTTCAAAGAAGCGATCGCCATGCAACGGCCTCACGAGCGTGATATCAAAGCGGCACGCATAAAGGCTGCACGTAATTGAAAAAAAAATACCGATCGATGATCAAAAGTCATAAGTCACTCAGGCTCAACGCAGAATGAGAAAGAAGCCGTCGGTTTTAAAAGACGAAAAGAAATAACGTTTCTGCACATACACAGACGCACGCGCACACGCGCACGTACACGCTCACACAAGCTCTGTTGCAGAAAAAATAAAACGAGAGGAGAGAAGCCGACGAAGCGCAAACAAGTCCGGCATTTCGAAAGCGACGCACTCGTTGATTATCATGCCAATACCCACACACACGCGCGCGCGCGAAGTTCCCCTCTCATTCCAGTCGAGAGGAAACGAGACGGATGGCCCATAGCGAGCGCATCGCGCGCTCACTCGCGTCACGGCTATACTTAGCTACTTGATTTTAATTACACGAATTGTCACTTAGATTTACGAGTTTTTTCCCGTTGATTAGGCTTCTCTCTCTCACTGCGCGCCCGAACGCCATCAAGATTTATATTTATTGACCTGCCGCTGCCGCCGCGGACCTCCGAAGTAGGGGATTTATACAACTTCCATGTATCTCCGTATATCTGTGCGAGTATCGTCGAAAACCATCCCGGAAAAAAGATTGAAGAGTATTCGGGTGAAAGAGTAAAACGTTTAATTTTGATAAATTATCGTGCCGATCTTGCCTCTCCTTGCCATCACCTGCCCTGACTGCCTTGATCGAATCGCCAAAGGTTTCCGAATGAGTAAGATGAGCTTTCCGCCAGCGTGACAACGAGTTGATCGGAGGAACGCGAGCTTTCGTGTTGATTTTTCGTTACGAGGAATTCTATAAGATTCTGCCGCGAGGGATCAAACTTAATGTAATCTGCGATATAAGGCGTTGGCAAGAGGCCAAGAAGAGAGAGAGAAAAGCAGCTTTGCGGCGTCAGCGTCAAAAATTGCGTGTAGTATAGGCCAACCTTGTACATGTACGTGTGCCTCTCCACCAACGAATTTCCTCACTCCTCCCCGTCTCGCTTGTCGGTACGTGACAAAACTTTGTCGGCCGAAAAGCGACTAGTCTACATTTTTATTTGGTCCACTACAGCACATACAGCCTTGGTCCTAATCTTTCTTGTCCCTTTTTGCCTTTACACCCCTGCCACGGCTTTCTATTACCTTCGTATGTTCTCGTCTCATGTTTATTGAGATTTCTACTCGTCTCTTATTGCTCATAACACTTCGTGTCCTATCGTTGCTACTGCCACTGTCCCTTCGCTCCAGTTAATGTAGCTTTCAATTTTCATTGTTCCCAGACGAATACATTATTCAGCTTTACTCGAAGGATTTCGCCTTTATTTTTTGCCAGCTACTAGACGCGTACTACGAACAATAATTTACAATAAACGATAATTTTCAATAACGCGTCTGTTCAAGGGTCCAAACAAAAAAAATCGGCCGAATGAATGGAGCTAATTAACAATCGCATGGCAGCCTCGCCCTAAATCATCGCGTTTAATTGGAAATCAAGCTACATCTCCATCCTGCCGAGCCATTACCAGTCGGTCGGCCATCGCGGCACATTCATCTCTTTCTCGGCGCGGACGAACGGAATAAAAAGAAAAAAAAAAGACTGCTACGCTATCTGTTGAACTCGTCTATTTTCACTCGCGTATATACAAAAACCGAGCTCGTGTGTTGTGAACGGCGCGCTTTGTTAATGGAGCCGCCATCGTGAACTGGTTCTTCATCCGTATAACGTATTGACGAATGTACATTTGGGAGGCTCGCTGTTCATTTCGCAGGTAGATCATCGTGATTGACGGTATCCGGTTTCGTCACGACATTCCGAAAGAGAGGCGTGTTTAGTGGTGGATGCTTTTTTCCCTTTTTTTTACGTTGCGGTGGCTGTAGTAGCTTGAGGATTCATTTTGGATGGTACGAGTGCGATGTATTTATGCGGGTGATACGGTTCGTTCGCTTTTTTCGCTTTTTTCGTATATGATTATGCGGTACCCTTTTTTCAGCGGGACGTTTCGCGGAGGTGAGTGAGTCGGCTTTACAAACGCTTTAGATTTAGGTCTTTTGATTATCGATTTCCTCGCTATTTTTCAAATATTCATATAGAGGTTTCTTCTCAACTTAGTGTCCAATTTTATTTATAATATAGGTGACTATAAATTATTAGAGTACGATTCGTAAAATGAAACTAATTTTAACTGCTATATCTGCTGTATAATGTCCGCTGATGAATGTGAAAAAATGCTCGGCGCCATTTTATGTTTGATTTCCATATATTATTTGTAAAACAATATTCTAACGATCGCCGCCTAATCAGGCGCGTAATACTGAAACTTCGGCTAACAATTGAGAAATATCCATGATTTCAATATTTCGAAATGTTAAAAAACATTTCAAAAAATCAAAGGCTCAACGGAGAGCAAATGAGCACGATCAGTCATCAACATCGCAGAATCTCACAGAAGCTGTAAGTTGTCTCGCATGCACGCACGCATCGGTAGCCGAGAGCAACTCTCGCGCAGATAAGTACACACAGCAGCAGCAGCAGCAACTGGAAGAGTAGTAGCACGCGCGTTCTCTCTCTCTCATTCTCTCTCTCACGTGATTTCTCATGCGAGGGCGGGCGTCTTTACAATGTAAAGTCGCGGCGTTACACTTGCGCGGCCAATTGCGTCCCTCGGCACAACCCAGATCTCTCTCTCTCTCTCTCTCTCTCTCCTTTCTCTCTATATACGCTTTTGCCCCTCTTTCGGTATATAGTATAGCTTCCGATCTGTGTGTTGTATGGAGCTTCAACAGTGGAATTTCTCGGTAGCGCGCTCGCTCGCGCCAAGCACAAGCAGCAGCTATCGAAGAAAAAAAAATCGGATGCCCTTTTGTTCGCGGCATTCTTCGCTCCACTATAAATCGTCCTTGCTGCTGCTGCTGCTGCTGCTGCTGCTGTTGCTGCTGCTAAAGAAGTAAGAAAAAAAATGATTTCGTGCACGTATGTGCCAGGCAGCAACCGGCCGATGCCTATACAGACTCGCACTCTCTGTGGTAGGGTTAAGGTAAACAGGTGGATTTCGATCGCGGTGCATTATTTTTATCAGCGATGCCTCGTTAATTGATGATGATTAATGGTAAAGGACGAGGCGACACTTTTTTCTTGATTTTTTAAATCATATATACGCATGAATCATGCCTCTATTTCTCATACACGAAAATTAGTAAACTAATGTACCCAAAGCGACGAGATTCGAACACGACAATTGAAATCAAAATGTTGCATCTTACTTTTCAGACACATTTTACGCCAGCACATGCTACGCCACTTCGGAAAGAAGTACAAATGCGGACTTCCTGGTTGCCCGACAATTCTTCGCACTGAGACGGAACTTAATACCCATCGTCAACTGGTTCACGAAACTTCCAGTTTCATCAGGAAGTTCCGGTGTAACGAGTGCCCGTATGCTGCGAAAACTAAAAACCAATTTGAAAGGTACAATTTTCAGTGATTTCTGTCTTTTACCTTTGCATTTGCCACGTAGACTACACTGGCAACATGTTCGAGTGCATTCATCTTTCAATAAACAAGGAAAAACTCGTGGTGAAGAATGAAGATTTTTTGCCCGCGGCCAAAATGAACGTTCTCCACGCACGCGCGTACACATATATATAGCTCAACAGTCCTCCATTAAAGCTTGACATTAAAAATCGCTGATTATACCACATTTTATGGTAAGAGCCATTCAGCGAGTCGTCGAGGGTGTAGGCAAAGCTTAAAAGTCAGGGTGTGGAAAATGGATAGCTTTGTTCAGTGCGCGCGAATTAGACGTGGCGGCGGCGCGGGGCAGAGAGGGAATTTGCCAAAAGCGCAGATATATTTCTCGTCTGGACTTTCGCCGTGGCAGTTCTTTGACCACAGTAAACTCAAGGGACGTTGCGTCCAATAAAAGCTCGCGAGCTTAAAAGTTATGTGTCCGAAGCCAGCCCCCCCCCCCCGCCGCTCTACGTTAATGCACGCACGTTTCGCTTTTTCTGGTCTCTTTTTCTATCCTACTTTCTGTCGGTTGCTTTCTCTCTCTCTCTCTCTCCGTGTTTTCCAATGAAATTTTTCTTAACTCTTTAGCCATATTATCTATTAAATTATTTACTTGGATTTTTTAATGGTCTTCTCAATTCTACCTGATTAAATTAAAACTAGCTGGATTACGTATGGTAAAATCATAGGAATTCAATAAAATGAATGAAAGTTATTTCACTACTTTTCTGCTACATGAATATCGCGTTCGATTAAATTTCAATCATACCATAATTTTCGAAAGCTTCTACAAGTACCTATTCAATAAATCATGTAGCCATCGAGTCATCAACTGCATTAAAGGCACTTACAATCCACAGTGCAAGAAAAAGATCCGTAATGATCATACTGATAGATAAGCGTCGCTTGAAACATTGTTGGTCGATAAAGAAAAGGAAAATAACTGGTGAATCGATGCCAAGTGAATCAGATTTGCGGCGGACAGCTTTAATTATGCATGAGGCGGGGATGTGCATATCGCCAGATAGAGAGAGAGAGAAAGAGAGTGAATAATTTTTAATCGTGCTTGTAACTCAGCGAGGCGTCAGGTGCCTACACCTGCGGCGGATACTCGTTATGGCTCATAAATTGATAGTTACATTTCTCATGTATGATAATTGTTGGCCAATAGACACTCCATTTTCTTTATTTTTCCGCTACACACTTGTAGCCTTTCTCTCTCTCTCTCTCTCTCTCTCTCTCTATTTCTCTCTTTCCGCTGTAATTTCATTGAGCGCGCTTACGCTCTTTATATTTCATATTTCATGAAGTGCACAGGGCGAAAAAATAAAAAAAAGTGAGAGAAAACAATCGCACGCGAAGATGCATATGCGGCGGCAGTTTTCGTGTGTGTACGGGCTGCGCGCGCGTTATTTATCACGGCCGTAAATAAGATAAGCCGTCGGTGATGCATGTCCCTTATTCGCGAGCCACGGATATTTTCATTAGAATTATTGAATGATATTGCGGCCTTTTAATGTTCAGATTTGCTCGCCACGTGATTTATTACGTTTGCCTTTTTTTTATTACTCCGCGAGCACGACTTCATGTTTATCAGTCTGGTAATTCGTTATGTGCTTCGCGATTTGTTTGGCATGTTTTCACGTGAGATTGTTGTTGTTGCTTTTGTTTTTCAACAAACGACAGCATGATTCAAACTTTGCAATATTTAAAGTACCATGAAATGTAAAAGGTTAAACGATTGCCAAATGTTATTATGTTATTATATGTTTATTACGTTCGATATGATTTATTTTTTATTAAAATTAAAAATTATATCATTTTTATACAACTCCGATTATGACATTTCTATGAATTATATAGTTAATATCGGTACAAATAGTATAGTGTTGTATATAAGTTATTGACAAATAAACTCCATGGTGAATGTTATTTTTAATTCTAAAACTGAACGTGATCATAGTAAAATCTTCTATAAGTTATAGAAGTCATTGTTCTCATTGTTTTAACAATTTCATGATGTATTGGTATGGTGTACTGAAATGTTACTTGTCACTTTTAATGGTACTTAAAAAAATTTTTCTTTTGTGGATAATAATTAACAACACTCAAGAATATAAATAATCTGTAAAACATAAGGCATAAAGTACTCGGCAAGAGCCAGGCTATACTAAAGCGAAAATACGCTGCCACACAGAGAGATTCATCTCTCACTCTCAGTACATTTAAACTTTGCTAGCTCGTTTTCAATTTTCCAGCAATTAAGTGACCCTACGTTTGGCCTTGCACTCTCTTTCTCTACAACTCTTTTTCTATTCGACCCCTCGCTCTTTTTCCGCTCTGCAGCCGTGCGAAACAAGCAAAACGACGACGCAAAAGCGAACTGAAAATCCGAACGAGATGTGTAAAAACCGAAGAGTTGGACTGCACTGAACAGCCGGTGCATCGGTTTAGAGCGTTATATCAGCCACCTGACGTCTCGCGGTGTTTTATTGCGGAAGCTCGCGCACGCGCTTTTATAAATCGATTTTCAAATTCGTCATACCTGCTTTCCACTCGATTATTTTGGACTTTGTAATTGTATATTTGTCGATGAATATTGGTCGCGTTCGCCAATACTCATCGGCTTTGCATCTGCTGGCCGCATGAGCCCGCGAGAATGACGGAGAAAACGGCGTGCGAGCTAATGGATGCGCGTAAGCAGCAATACCGTGAAAGCCGCGCGCGTTGATCGACAATTCGCGCGGATGAAGCGACGCGGACGAGCGAACAATAAGCGGAGCGTAATCTGCAATAAGCAGCTGTGCAGAGGATGGCTTTGTCGCTGTTTTTTTTTTTTTCTCTTTTTTGTTTTTTCTTTTTTTTTTTTTTTTTTTGTCGGCCTCTCGGGCGCGCCTTCTTTCCGGCACGGCTATCTCGCGTCCCTCGTCGCGCCGCGACGGCTCGCGCGCGCTCCGCCGAGCGACTAAATCACACGGGATTTTAATTAAACGCGTCAGGCTGATACAGCGCTCTCTCTCTCTCTCTCTCTCTCACTTCCACGGTGCGCGCGGCGCCACGGCAGTATCGGCCGCGCATATCGCATCACTCATAATCAGTAATCGCCTACCGCGCTTTCGGCCCATAGACGACCATAAACTTCGTTGCGCGACGCTACCGCTGCTGCGTACGCGGTGATAATCACTCGATTTCCTCGCGCGCGCACCCACAGCTATGGCCTATGCCGCGATGATTAACACCTTCGTTTGCCAGTTTGTTTCACTACGCATACACGTATTATTTAGCTTAGCAGGTTAGTTCATTAGGGAATCGCTTTTATAACTTTTTCATTGATTTCTTCTTCTTTTCTTTTACGAGTAGAATAATAAACTCGTCATCAATTGATGATTGTTAGACATACGCATACCGCACCAGATGGATTGCCACTAGTTGCCAAATGAAAATTCTATCCGATCAGTACTAATATCATGGCAATAATCTTTCTTGCTATTTCAATAGTATATAACTTGATCAGTATTATATAACAGGTAAATGTTTTCTTTTTTCTACGCTGTATTATTGGCAATGCTCGCTGTCTAAGTATTCTGATGCAAAGTTTGAGACACAATTATCTCTAATAATTTGTCCATCAAACGCACTTTGAATTTGCAGACATCGTAAGAGACACGAGACATCCAGCAGCGCAGAGGGCAGCACTGCACAACACACATGCCCATACGCAGAGTGCAGATTCCGAACGAGCCTTAGCTCCCATCTGAAGCGTCACATTCGCTTGCACACAGGGCAAAGGCCTTACAATTGTCCTCATTGCAATTACGCGAGTAGTAATTTGGTAAGTCATAACGCCTTAATTATTTTCAATAATCCTTCTCGTTCCCGTGCGAACTGTTGTTAGAACGGCCCTTCGGGTATAATTATCTTATCGTACGTGTTTATGCATCTTAATTAAAACCGAGGCGCAAGCGAGGTAAACGTTGCTCGAAAGCTCGAGCTTTGATAGCAATTTGGAGAAAGTAGTGCTTGTAAGCCAATAAATGCAGCCGTCATCGGATTGGAAAACGAAAACAAGAAGCATTCGCTAGACTTGAAATCCCAAACGAGCGGGGAGATGGGCGCTTCGTATAAATCTTGAATCCAGCCGCTGATTAACCTTATCGGAATGCTTCCCCGGTATAAAAGAAAAGAAGAAGAGGCAGCCGCGCCACGGCAACGGCTCACGACCTACCGCGCAGTGGTAGCCGTTTTTCGATTAACCCAAGACTCGCGTCGCCATTACAATGTAACGCCGATAGGCTAACAAGCGATAAGATGCGCTTATGCGTTTCTTCTATTCGTTAGCGGGGAAAGTTCGATCGCTAATCGTTCGGGCCACGATTTCGCGGCGAACCGTTGCTCGTTTTTGAGTATATTATCGTCGTCAAGTACCCGGGCCCCGAGGGTGTGTATTCGATAATATTTCGATGAGATTTTTCACAAGCAATCGTAATCCAAAAACGAATTTTAGCCGCGAGACGTCCACCGCAACAGCGGCGTTCGGCCGACGTTCGTGTCCAACCTGGCTCACCTGTCATCGCGGACTCGGCGCGACCGCAGCGCATATTCATTAAGAAAAACAATGTAGCACTCGGCTCTTATCTCGATTCGAAAAATCGAGCGTTCCACAAAACGAATGAAACGCAACGGAGAGCGTGAAGAGCGCCATGACGGTGTGGTCGCCGGGATTATTGCCGCTCTGGTGTAAATTAAGCAGCGAGGCCCTTAGCGTTTCTGTCGGGCCTCCCTTTTTCATCCGAGCGGCGGCAGCCCAGCCCTCGATAAGATAACGAGTTAATTGTGCTCGCGCAGGTATGCTAATGCCCGGGGATCGCGCGGCGATCTCTCTTTAGCGCAGATACGCGCTGACGTGGCTCTTGTCGCCGTCGCGCCTTTGATAGCGCGCTCGAGCTCATTACAATCTCGGTCGCGCGTCGAGGCGGCCGCGACGTCGCTAATTGTCGCGCTCGCGCCGCGACGGCAGCGCTGGCTCGCAGGTTGCGCCCAGCGGCGCCGCGAGCCGAAGAGACGTCGCGCCGAGGCGGCCGACGGAGACGGGCGGAGGACGCCGGCCGCGTAGAAACTGGTTGGAAGGACGGCGGGAGGAGCGAGATTTACTTATGGGAAACGAAATTTCACGTCCGAGGCTGCTACCCATCTTTACGACTGCGCGCTCGGCTACTCGGCTTCCTTGCTTCCTTTCTCAGCCGTCGTTTTCGTGGCACTGCCGATTGATTTCGCTGGATCGCTCACTGGATTCGGATTCTATTTTCCTCGCTGGCTCATTAGCACTCGCTTCCGGATCTCCAGCTTGTAGTCGTTAAGCGGCTAGAGTGCTCGTTGGGCTATTGCCGAGGCATTCCGCGCGTCACGTGGTATGGAAGCCATTGCTCGCCGTGCGAACGTCAGCTCGTCCTTTGGCGAATCAGGCGCAAGCTGCGTGCGTTGGCTCGAAGGAGACATCGAGCGGAACGAGCGGAACGGGCGGAACGCACGGAATAGGATCGGCGAAAAACCGAAGGAACGAGATATTAAGCGTGAGTCGAGCTGGCCATGTGCGCGGAGCCTTTATCCGAGAGGCTGTTGCTCGCAGCCTCGGAGCGCCCATATTATCGGCGTCTTTCATTGCCCCTACTCGTACGCGCGCGGCTCGGGCGGCTCGTGGGCTCCTCTCGACTCGCGGCCGAAGGCGCCGCTGCCGGGCGGCTTAACGACACCAATATACGAGTTTACCGTTGAACCGCCTACCGGTTTATAACCTCGCCGAGGTGTAAACGCTTAACGCCCGGCGGATTGGCCTTTTGTCAGCCTGTGGCCCTGCGAAAAAGGAGAAAAGGCATTTTGACGATTAAATCCAAGAGGCTACGTGCGCCTGGCTGATTTATTTGACGCGGGGATAATGACGTCGACTTGTTTACGAAGAGCCCCGACTTTTAGAGCTTCTCAAACTGTCCCGGGCTTCCGAAGAGTCAATGAAGCTGATGGAGATTGTTTCGTTGCAGGAAAATTTGAGGAAGCACGTGCTGTCGACGAGCAGGCATCCCGGCAAGACGATCTATCAGTGCGAGTGGTGCGAGAACGGCGAGCCGTTTCGGACGAACTTTTCCAAGGTGTTGAAGGCGCACTTGCTGGTATCTCACCCGGACAAATACCCGACGGCAAATCACGCGACCACTTACGTTTCCAAGATCTTGAGCAAGTCGTGCGCGGCCAAGACCCGTAATAAATAATCGTTAGGTTTTTGCGCGTGGTAAAATTGCTCCTTCGCGAGAAAATCAGTGTAACTTAGCTTTAATGCGCTACCGTCGACACCGGACCACCGCGCGCAGAAAAGATTGTAGCGCGATGCGCGCGCGCTTGTAAATAAAATATCAATGCCCGGCGGCAGAGCTCCGACGATAAATATCGACGCATAAAATCTTTGGCCGATAAAAACCCAATAAAGCGTCCTTTCCACTTTCGAATCTTTCATTCCCCTGACAAATTAAAATTCCCGGCTTTCCTGTATCTTTCGGTACGACCTTACCATAATTTACGCCGTTCAATAAAATCGCCGATTGTAATTCAAATTAACGTCGCACTCGCGCGCTATTCCTAATCCAGCCGAGTGCGCAACTCTTGAAACATTGAAAGCCCGAGTATTCTCGGGAGGAATGCACGCGCGCGGCTCGTTCTTGCATCGACGATTAACGGCCATTCGGTCATTCTCATACCGACGATGACCCGAGAGCTTGTTCGACGTCCTCTTAATGGCTCGCGATGCTCTGACGCGCTTGTAATTGCAACGATTATTACTCGGCTAATAGCGCCCGCACTTGCGTTCAGCTTCAATATTGTGATAACAGTTATCAAAGTTATTGTAGATTAACGCGGCTCGTAATACGCGTTTGACATTTCCCAAGAGCGGGCAGCTTCTTTCGTTCCCTTTCGTTCCCTTTCGTTTGGAGCGCCGAGGCAGTAACAGCTTGCAAAAATACGCGATTATCGCAATGACGATTTACGGGAAAGCGTAAAAATCCTGGATTCCCTGTTCGACGTCCGCCTCGCCGTGCGCGCAGTTCAACAAACGTAATTTGCCGCATATTTCCCTGCCGATAAGGCGCACAAGCAGGCGCACGCGGCGAGGTACGCCGTCAGCGCGCGCAGCGTAGCGAGAGATCGCGCGATTAGGCGAAAAGTAGCTGGTCAAAATTGATTTTTCCTCTGGCGCTCGCCACGCGAAAGCATAAATCCAGCGCCAACGAGTAAGTTGGGTAAGGTAATCCAGCAAGCGGCTCATAAATTCATAAACGCGCGTACCCGCGGCAATCCCCCACGGTAAGTTTTCGCTGGGATTTCATGCAACGGCGAAGAGAGAGGAAACAAGGCTTCGCGTACTCGTATGTATGCACGCTCGTCGCCTTTTCCAGCTCGATAAGTATCGTAAATATGTGGAAATTCGAAGCCGCTACGTAACTTATCTGTGGCAAGCCTCTAAACAACTTCTTCGTGAATAATGTGACGTTAAGCATCCTCATCGCCGCCACCGCGTATAACAGCTGATATTCAGCCGCGGCTCTCCGGTTTCCGCCGCTGCTGCCGCGCAGGAAGTAGTTAGTGGCACCTGATCTACGACCAGCTCGCACGAATTGTCCGAGTTTATATTCTCGCTCGCTCTCTCTCTCTCTCTCTCTCTCTCTCTCTCTGTCGCGCGAGCCTCGCGGCTGTAAAGACCTGCCCCTTTGACGTAAAAGCGTGTGCCAAGGTGCCAGGCCGATGCTTATCCAGCAGGCTTTTAATGAGAGGACTTGACGCACGAGGTTATACTGTGCTTTTACCTCGTAGCTCATTGTTGATTAGTACGGCGTCACCATTAGGCTGACTAATAATTTTCTACCTCGCCCAACTGATTTATTTCGATATATTTTATGCAGCTTTTAAGCTCGCATTCGCTCAATGCCGACTGCTGTAATTTGCTGCTCTCCCCTGTCGTTCGCTACACTAACAATTTATTAACGAGGGGCCAAAGTTCTAAACGCAAGTGCTATTTTGATCGACTCATTTTTAATAATTACAAGCAAGACATTTGTTACGCGTGCACACGCATATTTATAAAATACAATATCCAGATAAGCTTTGATAGGCAGAGTGCAGACATTGCATGAGAAACGTGGCGAGAAACTCGGTGTGAATTACAAGTAATTAAATTTAAAATATCAGATTAATGACGTTAAAATTAAAATATTAACTAAATTGGTATGAAAAATAAGATGTATCCGATAGACGAGAAATTTCGCGTCGAGTAAAAAGGAACCAGAATCCTATCTTTAAAAAATGATAAGTCGCCAACATCCAGCGTAATGATTGCTGAATGCGAAAAAAAGAACGAAACTTTTAATTTTTGTGTACTCTATGACAGAAAATTTTAAGAACATAAGAGATTATATTTTGAAATTATTAGTATAAATTAATAATTTTATAACCATCACCGATACTAAAATTAATATTTTCTTAAAATTTAGTTGGAAGATAGAGAAAGTGAATAAAATGAAATGGAGGAAAATTCCTTTTTATGTTTTGTACAAAATTAAGAGGCACGCGGGCAACGGAAACTAATTATCAGAATATTCAACCCATTAAATTGAAATAATGTTCACGGGTGTTCTTAACGACGACGATTTTAACAAAAATACATACGATGTTAAATATATTACTCCCGCTAAGATTATAGGGCCATAACCACTATTATTGAGTATATAAGGTTTATTATTGTATAATAGTATAACAGCTTGAGTACATTTTATCAATCATAGATTTAATTATAGTCTATTAGATAACTTTTCTGGTACGTCTTGAAATAACTAAAAATTGATCGGTTTTTATAAAAAAAGGTTGCAAATTCTATTTATATTGATCAATGAATACGATGCATGTAGTGTATTTCAAACAGCATGATTTATTCGCCTGGACATATACACGCGTTAAATAACACTAGTAAGAGAAAAAGAATAAGAGGCAATTCTCAGAAGTGAAAGTAGAAAAAAGCTAAAAGAATAAATGATATAGACAGACAGTGTAGTTGCTCGGTGTAGTGGGTGTTGAAGGATAATTTATCGGTTAATTAACGTAAGATGTCCTTCATTACCTTGGCTGGCATTATTCGACAGCCGAATATTTACGAGCACGGTGGAAGATTGAGGTTACTGCAAGAAAGGGCACCATAACGATGTGTCCCGATCTCGCCCTGGTGGAATTCTTCAGCTCGTTGTTTTGCGAATACGAATAAGCTACACGTGCGAGCGAGGAAGACAAAAGGGACGTGTAGCTTGTGAGAACCTCTGCAAGGATAGGACACGCGCCTCCGAGCCAACGGGGCCTTTTGTTTTAACTGATCTTAAACTGACGCGATTGTTGCGCCTCGCGTTCCCCTTTCTTTTTTTTTCTTTTACTCCTTTCGCGTGCTTTGCTTGTTTTGCTATTCACTCGATTCTTCAGCTGCTATTCAATACATTTAATTTTTCTCCTCTAATGAAACAAGTCGGCAGCATACTGTTCTGACAGCTTCCGAGGATAATGCACTTTCGAGTTTTCGCAGCTTCGCAGTGAAATTGCGAAAGCAGCGAGCAAATCTTAAAAAACGTACAATTTCGCAGTGCACAAAAATCAGTTCAGAACAATGGCTGAGATATCGTACGATTTATTGAAACGTGTAATGCCAAACGATGCCTTTGCACTGGCGTACACGCACGAGCATTAAAATAAATATCAAGCACTGAGCGAAACGGAAAATAAAATGTAGGTACACTCGAGCGAGCATCTAAGAAGTCACGACGGCAGCGTTAGCCAGGAGTTAATGAAGATATAACGTGGGCCACAGGGGTTGCCAGTTCACAAGAGAACGAGAACGACACCCTCATTTCGCGCGCGTGTGCCCTTTCTCGTGCGGCAGCTGCCAGACATAATGCCGTCCAACATTCCGTCTCATTTCCGCGATAACGAGCTGTGAGGCCTTTCCTACGTTATTTACCTTTTTTTTTTTTGCAAAATACGGCACAGACTGTTCTACCATGAGAATGTCCGTTGCGATGGTCATTGGATTCGACAGCTACTCTGAAGCCTCCTCATTCCAGCAATCAATCGCGTATTCTGACATTTCTTTCTCAAGTCGAAGCAATTCCCAAATTATAGTTAAATGATATTCTTCGATAACCAGTTCAACTTCCTTTCCGAAAAATGCAGAGTACAAACTGACAAGCTGTTTGGAAAAGATTCATGACCCAATAAATGAGGTGAAAGCATAGACAGTAACGCAATTTATTAGGTTAGTCATATAATTTTCTGTTTATGCATTATGCATCAAAATATCGCACTTGAACAACTAAGATGTAATACTTTCATTCAAACCGACATTGGTTTATGCCTGAAGTCATTTTCAAAAATTTCATCCATCAGCTTCCTTTCATCACGCACGTCACCTATTTTCATTACGTCATAACTTTCTTTCTGTGCACCCTTGACTGTGCCACCCATCTTCCCTATCAATTTTTTCCTTCCACTTATGTTACTGCTGAAAAAATCATCGATATTGGTTTTTCACTAATATTTTTCCCACTTAAATAATTTTGTCTCTTACACCTTGACTTTCTTCAGCAACTTTGTTCGCACGTTTTGTAAATTAAAAACTTAGCAGTGTGCTACAGAAATTGTAAGAATAAGAATTTAATGATATAAAAGCAAGTAACGTATGCTTTATTTCGTGCGAGTTTCTTGCAACACATTTTCCGACCCACTCTGTTGATCGTCAAATGATTTTGACATGTCGATGAGCACATGAAAATTATAACATAATATGCCAGCAAATGGTAAAGAAGAAAATTAAATGGAGCAAGTAGCATTTACGCAGAAAATAAATGTCATTCCAAAGTTGAAAAAGCAACATCAGTTGAAAAGAGCAAAGAAAACTGCAGGCGAAAACGCTAATGATTTAAATCAAGCGTGCAAGCTCTGAATTTGTCAGTGGCAAATCGGGCAAGGAGTCTCATTAGAGCAGCCACACGGGCTTTGGAATTCTGCGGATTTCATTCCCCCAATTACACCTGGAAATTTGTCCCCTAAGACGCAGGACATAAGGAAGAGCTCGGCGCTGTGGTACCGTAAATACAGACTTGCAAGACAAGCGAACTCGACGACTAACCGCGCAAGCACGAGGGTTGATTTCTATGCTTGCACATACACCATACAGGGTAAGTACTTAGCAGCGCGCGATACGACGTTTTATGTGCGGCTACGTGGGGTGCTGGTACTTACACGGGGGTGGACCGTGATATACCGTTAATGCTGAGATCATTTGACGAATAACTTCGTTTTATTGCATATGATCGCTCAATTAATCGATGGCAAGTCTAAGTCCGGGTATTATTTTTGCAGTTTGCATTTTCTTCCCGTCGTTGTGCAATCGCTTTTTCGAAGCACATCGTACACGAAATTTCCTCGGCTCTTCCGTCGGGCTCGCCTGAATTAATCGAGCGCGCCTAAAGAAAGCAAATCGAGAAAATGAAAGGGGAAAGGGAGAAGACGACGAGTGATTATCTCGATAATCTCGCGCGCGGCCGAAGGCGGCGCGAATCGCGAGGAATGCGTGCGACGAGCTGGGCGTCAAA